TACTTTGCTAATATTTTGCATGGTTTGAAATAAAACGTTAATATGCATTTCCATGTTGGCAGAAACTCTGGCTCGGTTTATAAATGCGGCAATTAGTAAAACAATTAAGGATTTAAATGCACCAAAACATCAGGGTGCACTTATTTACATTATTTGTTAGGCAGCGAAGGTGAGAATACGTTATTCAGGAATGGTGTCTAAAGGGCGCGGGCCGGAACAGGAGCTAAGGGCAGGAACGGACTCGTGGTTTTCATCCAAAATTCCCTCATAATGCGAGCAGAATGAATTTAAGTGGGGATTTTATGGATGTATGGGTCTAATTTTGCGTAACGTCTCTGGACAACGTGGTTTGAATTTCTCTTTCTGGTGGTGGTGGGGAGTGGGGGGGGTGGTGTTGGGGGTGACGCGATATTATGAAAGTATGATCGTGTGATGTTATTGACGCTGACCGTTTTGTCTGCTCATTTCGCCAGTTAAATTGCATGACTGCTTAACGACTATCAGGTTTAGCAGGTGGCGGCTCGGGTATTGTCAGTGACTTTAACATAAAACTTTATTGCCTTCTAAAATATCTGGCGTTTCATAATTGACCAAAATATGGAGTAGAAACTGAAATACTGCAACGTCATAAGACAGTGGCAATTCCCTAGATAAGCCCCAATATCCTTGCTTACCTTTTTCGAAAAGCAGCTCGATTTAACATTATTTTATGCTAAAGGCCTATAGTTACTATAGTCGATATAGAAGTCATGTTCCTAATTGCTTAAAAAGCCTAGAATTTAACTCTATAATTTCACCCTATAATTTAAACCAGCGATACTTCGCTTGCAAGTTAAGTTTCTTATACAATAGAGCATGAGCACAGCTCCCTGGCATAAGTGATAAATTACGTTTAATCATAGAGGAATCTGAGATATAATAATGAATAAATATGCATGGGAAACAGGAGAATAAATAAAAAATAAAGAAGTATTCGGCATATTTTTTTTAGTCAATCGAAACCATGAGTGGCGTCGTCTAAATGGTGCAGCTGCACAAACAGGGTTTCCTTGAATGGACATCCTGTAGGTGGTTTGAGTATTACGAGGGGTGCCAAAGAAGAGGATGATGGTCCTGCAGGGGTCCACGTCAATCATGTCGTCCATTGTGTGTGAGCTGGGCCGCCCCACCAAAGCTCGGACGAAGCAGAAAGGATAAATACCGCCACCTGGTGGCAGGATTCGTGGGCACGCTGTGAACAGCGTGCTGTGCGCTTCTGGAGTCCGTCCACCCAGCCCTCTATATCCGAAAATGGGCTGAAGTCCTGTTTAAATCTGACCAGGAGGTTCATAGTAACAATAACGGGAGTAAAATTGTAGAAGATGAGGCAGACGATTCCCATAGTGGGCTTTATTCTCTAGCACTTTACATAAGAATTAGTACATTGTTATAGCGTCCGTCGTTGAAAAAGGCTTTGCATTTAGTAAGTACACTTATTCCCTATTGACTGTTTATTCTTCCGGGGTGAGTCACCTTAAGTGAAAAACAGTAATAACTAGTAAAACAGGAGGCTCCTCCGGAGTTTTGGGTATGCGTCCTTAACCACTAAACTTCCAAATGACCTTTGCCTAATTTAATCAGATACACGTTTACTATCGCCGGTCAGCTTGAAGGAATCTGAATTGGGCCGCCCAGAAAAAAAAGCGTTTTTTTTTTTTGTCTTTTTTTTTTGGGACATCAGCCAAGCTAATTCCCCCTCCCTCCCCGGGCTGCTACCATTCGTTATCTCATCCCTCCCACCGTCATCTAATTTCTGTGCTGATTAAGCAGGCCCCCCGCTACGCCGATCACTCAGGATGGTTGCCCCTCTTGCATGCAGAAATACGGGGCTTTTTTTTTTTTTACCCCGTTTATGAAGGCGGCAGCTGACAAGCTACAGAAACACGTGTGGGTAATTTACGCATATTACGCATCTCACGCTTCTTACGCAATATTATGTACGCACCCTTGGGTGTGACTCCCCCCTACGCCGTATCTGTGTGTTTTCAGGATGAGGAAAATGGAAAACATTTGCAAAAGTAGGTTTAGGATTGGCATTTGCCTTCAGAATGGGCAAAGCATTATTTGCTTTGAATTTTTCTGTTCTTATTTATTAAGGCAATTAAATGCAATGAGTTCGATCGGTCATATCAGCAACCAGGTAGTGCCAAAGCCCCTATTCCGAAGTGGGTGGGGGGTGATGGAGGTATCTACGAGAACATAGTGGACACAGCCCCCCGTGAAACAGGCCACGGACGACATCAATCAGACACATGGGCCGCCATGAGGACCCCGGGACGGCCGTGGATCTGACCCATGATCTCTCCCTACCTGCCTTTCCCCGACGGAGTCCACCACAAAAATGTCTTCATACCCTCAAATCACGCTATTAATATAGATGCGGTTCATTTTAAGGGATCAAATGATGGGGTGTGTGTAAGGGGGGAGGGGTCTCCCATCGCTCCCATCACTGCAGCCACCCAGGATGGGCGGGGGGCCGTAGCCGGGTGCCGGAATCAGTATTTATACTGTGCTTCGTGGAAAATAAAGGAGGAACAGTAATTACATTTTCTGTCATGGCTTGAAAGGGCACTGCCAGGCTCTGTGGACTGCTTTACCCATAAGGCTTTGCTCCTGCTGCGCCACATCATCAGGGCTGAGATGCAGGAGGTGCATTAGCGAGGCAGCCAGACGTGCAGGGGCGCGCCATGCGGGGCAGGGAGGGGCCGAGGGCTGGGGGGGGGGCAGTGACACTCTGCAGCCTTATTGTTCCCCTGGCCGGGCGGGTAGTTATCAGCTAGGATAGTGACTGCCAGCGGAGATCAAAAGTTCCTGTGATGGTTTTCAGAAGTGTCGCAGCTGGGGGGGGGGGGGGGTATTCAGCACCCCCCCCTCAAACAGAACAATGAGGAAGGTCTCGCCGGGGCATCGGAAGCGATAGGCGCCAGGTGGGCGTCCAATGGGAGTAAGCATGGCATGTAAAATACGGAAATGAAACAGCATTTTTCAGACCCGGTGAATGGTGGAGCTAAAGAATTATTGCAATAATAAAATCTTGATTGCGATCCTGTTGCTGTGCTCATTTGTTTTATTAAAAATGACAGGTGGCAGGACCCAGGAAGGGGAGTACAGCTGGAGCGGGGGTGTCGCTAACCTTTTTCCACTGGGGGTGGGATTGCGTTCCCTCTCTGGGTTTTAGGTCAAGCCCATATGGTAAGGGGGGGGCGGGGGTCATGGTGCATTCTGGCCCCTCCCAGGCTCTGAAATACCTCTTTCATCGCTGCTTTCAGCTGGTCTTAGCTTACAAACCCCCCCCCCCCCCCCCCCCCCGACTGCCACCACCTCCCCACCCATGAATATTCCTGATCGGATGACGACGTGTGGGCTTTCAGAAGGCACCCGATGCGACAGCTGCATCACGTTAATGTTACGGCTGCATCCTTGGGAGCGGCGGGTGGGTAGATAGGCGTTGGGAGGCGGGGCTTATGGCTGTCCGGGCAGAACGTTCCTAAAAATATGGGGAGGGGTGTTTAACAATTGGGTTTGTAGGGCAAAGTCATTTGATTTGATTCCAAGCAGGCACATAGCCGCGTTGTAAAATTACGGATCCAAACCCCCCACCCCCTAAAATCTGATGTACACAGCTATGTGGTAAAATTACACCATTTTACCTGCACTCCCAAAATATCTTCAGCAAAATCTACTGAGGGTACCCCCCGATCTGCAAAATCAGTCAAGGGGAAACCGCCCCAGCTGGCAAAATATTGGTAGGGTGGCCAGCCGCGGACTGAAATTTATTTCTGGGCACCAGGTAGGTGAGGCACCTGTGCCAGAATTGTGGGTGCCTGGTCAAGAGGGCTCCCAAAATGGACCTCAGCTCCCCCCCCCGTTAAAAGATAGACCTCCTCAGTCCTCAGAAATTGTATACATGTATTTCTTTTTCGTCTCGGAAAACGGCAGGAAGGCCATCTTGGGGAAGGAGCTGGTCTGTTGGTGTGGAAAACGAGAGGGTTTTTTTTTTTGGGGGGGGGGGGGCTGTCTGGGCCAATTATCCTGCTCATATGCAGGGTGGGGGGGGGCGAGGGGGGCGTCCTCTGTACAGCTGCCTGTTGGCACTGGGCCCCCTCCACACACTGCCGAGGCCCGGCCCAAATTGGCAGAGTGCCCGGCCCTCTCAGCGCCCAAAGGTTAGCTGTCAGTCCCCCGCTAGGTACAGCGAGGCCCTGATCCGGCGGGAGAGGCTCAGCCCGCTGCCACGGCCGCCCCCGATTGGCCAGGGAGTGCAGACGTGCCAGGGGCCTGGGGACAGATGTGCCTCTTCCTAACTGGCGAGCTGGAAAAGCTTAAAAAAAAAGAAAACAGTAACCCGGACAGAACTGTGGCTACTACTTATACAACCGGATTTCCCCCTGGGATCAATAGTATAGCCACCATCCATCTATCCATCCATCCATCAAACCATCCATCCATCTGCGGTTAAAATCGCTCATATTATCCTCAGAATGATGGAGTAAACTTTAACATTTGGCGATATTTTGTTGATGTAAATTATTGATTATCTGTTGTGTAACAATGCACATATTTTGACAGAATAAAATACTTTCCGTGGTAGGATTTCAGAATACAGGGGCACATAAATATATAAACGCTATGCATGTTAGCACACAATCATCGTGTAACTAGTTCTTTCTTTTTTTTTTTTTTTCCTTCCCAGAATTCACCTCTGATCCCTGAGGACCGTGTACAACCTCAGGGGCTGGACCCCCAAACGAGGGCAAGATGTCAGTTTCCAGAATGTGTGTGTGTGTGTGTGTGTGGGGGGGGGGTGTCCACATGGTCATCTCTGGCCATTTTAATTTTTTCAAAACTGTCAGCCAGTTCTACATGCTCCTCTTACAAGTTTACCTCACTTTCCAATCCTTCCCTCACGTTTTAAGTTGTAAGACGTGTTTCCCACACCAATAAAAAACAACCGAAAAGGGTGAGTTTTCTGCTTTTATTCTTTCTGCGTCAGTCATTCAGAAGGCAGTATAAAGTGAGAGGCAGCCAGATGCACACTCACTTTGATACTAATTTAAAAAAAAAAAAAAGCAACAGAGACAATCATTGCTTCAGCTTCAGTCACACAGTGAAGCTGTCTTCGTTCCCGCCACGGCATACAGGTGACGCGAGCTTCGAACAGTGGAGAAGCAAACAGGACAGCCATCAGATCGCTCTTGCGTCCTGTCGGCTGCACTACACCTCCGATTCAAAACCCAGAAACCAACACCCCCAACTCCCTGCTTCGGAGAAACGCCAAAACTGAACATGGCAGGGGGCATTCCCCCAGGGTGAAAGTGGGCATTACCACAGTGCGGGGGCTTGCCCACCAGCAGCGGGAAGTGGTTCTGATAGCACAGAAGTTTCCGGACACACAGAACAGGTATTGTTATTGCTTGGTTTGCATCTATACTGCATACGATTCAGTAAATTCCTTTCTTGAGTAACAGCAGAAATACCAATAATAATAAATATAAGACACAAGGCTCAGGCATATAACTGATTGCATGTCAACGATCTTACTCCAACTTTGTAACAAGCATGGCAATTAAAGTGAAGAAATTAAAATTATTTACAAATGATACGACTAAAAACTTCAATAGTGACAAAAGCACTTCAGTTGGTATAATATTACAGAGGCAATCACAGACTGCAGGTTTTCTTAGGCTCCGCAAAGAAAAACGCCCAGAAATGAATCACCAGTGTCACACACTGGGTAATACGGTAAAGCTCAGTGCTGAGGACACATTAAGACCGAAAACCTCACACCAAGAAACGCTGATTTTTTTCTTTAAAAGCATCTGATTTTATCCATCGAGATACCCCATTCACGTGCAGACAATCTGCAGGGTCAGCTGAATTCTGACTAGTAGTTAATATACGTGATCCTGGTAACACCTTGGTTTACACTCCTGCTGGTAAGGGTCTGGGAAACTGTTCTTGCACCTACGATATTTGGATCAAAGCTAAAGATACTAAAATAAAGTCAGTTGGTAAAATTCCCCAACAGAAACAGGGACGTCAGCAACATTTTTTGCACAGGAATCAGGCATTTCCCTTTCAAAGTTTCCTTACTCATGAGATAAGAATAAAATACCATAAAGCAAAAGCATACCTTTTAGCACCTGTGTCTTAAACACCTTTTCTCACAAAAAAAAAAAAAACATTCCTCACACGGTAAAACCGAACTTTCCACTCAGAGAAATTTGTCAAGCACACCATGGTCTAATAAAAGCCAGGGTGAAGGCTTAGATTTGGGGGGGGGGGTTCATTTGGCCACCAGCACAGACAAGGCCCACCCCTTAACGACTGGCACGCTGCATGGAAACTCCACAGGCCCAGAGCTTCCGCAGGAGACTGACGACGAAGGTCACGCTGGCGTCCCCAGAGTCGTGCACCTGGGGCATGGGGGGAATCCCAGGGTGCTCTTCATCCACGTGACATTGGCATTGCATCCTCCTCCTCTTCCTCTCTAGTCATTATGAGGCTTCTCTGCTCCGCCCTGGGGGAAGGGGGAGGGGGAGCTTTAGAAATACCATCTCGTATCTCAAAGTGTTGAAGCTGGTGATATTATTATTATTATCATCATCATTACCATTATTATTATTATTATTATTATTATTATTATTATTATTGCAGTTTACTTATGAAGCTCCTCACATGATATTCATCATCCACCCACGGAGCTCTGTTTCAGGACATAAACCAACAACCTACTGGTGCGTAGCTGAAAAACCACCCACCTACCCGACCCGTCAACAGACCGGCCCACCCAGAACTGCGTGAAAAGCATTAATTACACAGCACCCTCACAGGGTGGATTTAAGACATGCAGTCAGGCTAAAAGTGAATATGGTGCAGGGCAGGCCTGCGCACTACGACACCTCAGGCCGCTTAACAGCGAAGGCCGCAGTGCCTATAAATAGAGATGAGCTGATGTCAGCAGCGACTCTACACCTGCCTCTTAAGGCCGGCGTGTTTGGGGTGTTGCCGCCCCCGCTCTAGCCCCTCGAACACAGAACACATGCCGGGGAAACCGCTCGTCCACCCACACAAAGCCTGGGACCCCACCACCCCGAGAAAAGCCTTAAAAAAAAGAAGAAAAAATCAAATCTGTGACCCAGCAAAATCAATGAAACCCCTTTCAAACCAGTAAGACACCTGACCGGCTCAATTTTGTGTTCGCGTTGTTGTGCTGGTTCACCATCCCAGAATGCACCAGGTTTCTGAATGCACAAATTTCCTACCACCCCCCCAAAAGCTCTTTTATTGCGCCGATACAAAAAAAAACGCAGATACAGGAAGGTTGCTGCGGCAACCCGTTTGACATCGGATAATCAAGGGCCCTTTAACGAAAGCAAGGGCTTTCTCACACGACGGGATTATGTGCGATTCTGACGGTCCACTTAGCATTTCTGCACTCTCGGCCCAAAAAGCGCTTCTTCGGCCCGTAGGGAGGCCTCTGCTCCCCCTCCCACCTGCCCTTAAAATCCACGAGAGGAGAAACACAGACCCACGTCAAAAATCCGCATTCGCTGCTTTCGCAAGATCAGCCTTTTCCCCCCCACTGGATTTCAACCTGAGAAGTGATGAGGGTCCCAAACCTACTGCGCAGGCCAGCCTATTCTCCATGAACCAGATGGCTAAAAGGATGGCAAAAGAGAAAGACAAAAAGGCCGAAGACGAATTAAAATAGAAAATAAAATAAAATTTGCCTCTTTACTAAGGGTTTAACAGGACGGCTCTGCATTCTCAGGCAACTTAGAGAGCTGCGTGCGTAAACAAGTGCACGCTGGCGGGTAGCAGATGGGAGTTTTATGGTCCCTGCCTAGTGGGCACTGCCAGCGCTTACCAATCAAACCACGCATTTGAACTGGGCCCCTGAGGTTTGGCCCCCCCTGCTGGCCGCAAGCAGTCATAAACTAGGGGGGTGGGGCAGGAGAAATGACTGAGTGCAGCCCTAGACATAGCAAACCTGCCCCTGCAGGTGGGACAAATTCATCCCAGAACCATCACGCTCCTTAACAGAGCGGGGGCCGGATCAGGAAGATGGCGAGTCGTTCAGACCGAGCCGAGGCTTCTGTGAAAGGCAAGACGGCATCTGCACCATTCAAGCATAGCACTTTCCGGACAGCAGGCTGGACTGGACCCCTTGGCGGGGGGTGGGGTGGTTATGTAATGTTATTGCAGCTTAAATAATTAACCCAAGCGTTCAGCGACATGGCGGAGAGGTCTTCTGCCTCCAGGAAGACGGACAGACAGCAGACAGTTTAGGGTTAAAACTGCTGTTCACACTGATCAGTGATCAATGACGCTGTCAGAGGCCAATAACAAAATAAAACAGACATACAACAGTATTAGAAGCTGGGTAGATTTTCCACCTCATCATATTAAGTTTAAAGTTTGTTCCATTATCATGTACTTAGAGCTGTTGGAGTATAGGGCCCTAATTATAAGATTTAGGAGCAACGATGCAAGGCGTCGCCCTGTCATACGTTTCCTGCCGGACCATCAATTGGTGGCGTCACAAGTACTTCACCCCCTTGCACCGCATTTTCAGCACACAGGTCATTAAACAGGCCGTTTCATCCGAGCACATGACCCTTAGCTTTGGCCAATGACGACAGCAGTGTCTGGACGGAGAGAGCTCAGACTCTGTCTGGCACCACCGACTAACAGGCGAGCTAAACTATTTACTTCACACCCAGACCGAGTGGGTTACAAATTAAAATCACTGCACAGGAGCTGATTATCAAGGATCAGCACTGCTTATCGAAAAACAATAGCACTGGAAATGCCTGGAAAGTTTCTGGGATTTTCCATTTGGTAAAGGGTGACCAAAGAAAGTGCATCTTAGAAAAATGGAACAACTAAAATGTTTGAGCAAATTAATACCTCTAAACAGACCATACTGGACGTCATTTGCTCTGTTCTAATGCAGAAATCCGGCAGCATAGGAGAGCAAACTGAGAGACAAGGGCCTTACCATCGCCAGCTGCCGTCCAATATTCCCGACGGTGACTCCGCCCGAGAAGAATATACATGGCAACCAGGAGCGGATGTAAAGAAAGTCTGGGGAAGTGTACCTTGGAAAGAATAAGGGGGGGGGGGGGGGGCAGAGGTTTGATTAAATAAGATGGCACCACGAAGGAAGGAACTCAACAAAAATAAAACCAACACGTGTCAGAGGCACTTCTTTGAAATTCATGACAACTTAAACAGCTTCCCTGCAAGCAGCCTCGAGAGGAGCGGGGCATTAAACTTTCATGGCGAAAAACAAAATAATCAGGCCTCTTCGGAGGGATGCGGCTCGGCGAGAAAAAAAAAGCCTTTTGAATGCCGCCTCCGAGCCGGTCCCTTCCGAAAAGTCCGCCTCTCCCAATCGCCACTGCACATTTCTGAAGACGCCCCACCACTCTGAGTTACAGAAACCAGTAATTGGCAGGGCATAGGTGCGTGGGACCCGATACAAAATAATAACATTTATTTTCGTTCTCCTAACTCCCCCCTATTACTTTGATGAAATCCCATCCTGAGACTGCATCCATGCATGACTCTTTACTGCGATGATTCTTCTGTACGCGTTACATCATTACCCCCTTTTTCTGTTCCCTAAGATTGACTGATTTAGCCGCGGACTCACTGATAGACGCCGTTGTAGACCAGGAGCTGCGCGATGAGTGTGGCGAGGAGGGCGACAGTGACTCCGAGGCCGAAGCCGCTCCGGGACCTGTCGAAGGTCCACCACAGGCCCAGAGAGAGGGTGGCCAGGGTCAGGGATAGCTGCACATTGTTGGCAAAGTCAAGTTTCTGCCCTCCCATGGTTAAGGAAAAAAAAGTAGCTCTGGAGTATTATAATAAAATGATACAAAAACAAGCGTGAAGGTATTTTTCTGTTACCATAAGCATCACTGTTAGGAACATTAGTGGATAGTTTAAAAACTAATTCTGACATCCATCCAACCATTACTGCTTATCCAGTACAGAGTTGTAGTGAGCCTGCACAAGAAACCCTGGATGGTATGCCAAGTGCATCACAGTTAAATCTGAATTCTGAAGTTTATTTATTAAAATATGTCTGGAGGCCAACAGTCTAACGAATTTTCCCCCTCCTTCTACCCAATTATATTGCTATTCCTAAAGAATAGCCTACACATGTCCAACAGCATTCCCCATCAAGGGATCCAGACGTCGGACTGTCAAGCTGGAAGCCCATAACAGAGAAGGATACAGCACTTGCATGGTTGATGCCCACGAACACGGCAATGCAGCGCATGACGCTGGCCCACTCTCTTTTGAATTTGTGCGGCTCCCCGAGGTGACTGTCGATGCACGGGTACAACAAGCCCACGATGGCTGCAAAACACAAGTCACAACCTTGTGAGATACACGTACAAATACATGTTTTTATGCTTCCTCTGCACAGACATGAATGCTAAATAGATATTAACCATTAAAATCAGTACAATCTAACATTAACAATGACTGATTCTTACAACCATATCACTTTCAGTTTACGGATATATATAGATTATGGGGGAGCGTTTGTTTATTTAACTCGGACAACTTCCGTGTTTCTGTTTTTATACAAGTGGCATGTTCTAGATGGCAGCCAATCAGACGCGGCTTCGGCCGCTCACCAGTTATGTTACCAGCCAATGGGTAAAGAGGACGCAGCACACATGACCCCCCCCCCCCGTGACTGACTGTTTCCAAGGCAGCGTATTAGAATCACGCTGATACAACCACAACAGCCAATCGCTAGTTCCGCGAATTGGCTTAATAATGAAAGCAATACTGAATAGATGAGCAAGTGTAAAAATCGCACAATAAATAAAATTACATCTGAATAAAGTTTCACAGAACATTGCGACTCATTCACACAAATCAAGTTAGGAAATGGGCTTTGGTTTTAACAGAAGTTTTAAGACTCTCCCATGTACCGATAAGCCGTTCCGCTATTCCAGCCAAAAGTGTCCGGTTTTCAGCCCCCTTACCAGCTGCCGTCCCGCAGCACGGCGGGATCCACCAGGCAGAGGAGAAGATGGTGGCGACCACCTCCTCCGGGAAGAGCGCGACGTTCCGCTGGATCTGTAGCAGGTTGAGCACCAGCGCCAGGACGACGCCGACAGCGAAGAGGACGAGTCCCCGCCTGACGAGGCCGGCCGCCCGCAGCTGACCCAGGACCCCAGGGACAGCGACTGCCATCCCGGCCGCTCTGCACACGCTCTCAGGCTTGACAGCCGCGGAACAGGGGCAGCTTCGCCAGCCTCCGACCAGGCTCGGCATTTGGCACTAAACGCCGGAAAGGCTAGTGAGCAAAACAAAGCGAAGCGAAGTTAAAGCCGGAGCCGAACCGGGCCGGGCGGCGCGCTTTAGGTACCTGTTGCCGCGGCAGGCTGTAGCCGGTCCGCTTACCTCGTCTCTCGGTATAAACTTTGACTCGCACCCCGGTAATGAGCTGAGCTGAAGCAGCAGCCCCGACGCTGTCACGTCCCCGGGTCACATCCTCTTTTTGAGGAGGGAGAGGCGGGGCGGCTGGGGGACGGCAGCCGCGGCTTCCTACCGCAGCACGGGCGGCGTCCTCGGCCGCCAGCGCTCGGTCTGGTGAGAGGCGGCGGCCAATGGCGGCGCGCCGGCCCACATGACGCCACCACACACCACCTCCCTCCCCGGGTGCCAGCGGCCCCCCGAAGCCGGAGCGGAGTCGGTGTCCGGTCACTGGTGACGTCATGTAAACGAGAATGTGGCGTTTTAAACGTAGGGGTCAAAAACACACACTGAGGCTTAAGTCAGAAAGAACTTTAAAGCGGGTGTGTCATTATTATTATTATTATTATTATTATTATTATTATTATTTAGATTTGACTGTTTCTTATTATAGACTCCCACATAATTATTACTATTTGGGTAGTGTTCTTGCTTATTAATATTTTTTCGTTTACAGTTTTATGTACTATATGTTAGGGTTGTAACAGTTTAACGGGGCATTCACCTGTGGGGTCAAAGCTCAAATAACAGCAATCCCGCATACAATGTATAGACAAAAGTACTGGGACGCACCTCATAATCATTGAACTTAGGTGTTTCATTCAGTATCATTGCCACAGGTGTATAAAATGAAGCACGCAAAGTTTCTTTATGTAACGCTTACTATTTACTCACTGCTGGATTATTACTGGAATCACCCAGTTTATTTACCCAGGAATACAATAGTTGCTTCCCTCCCGGTATTTAATTGTTTTAATTGTCTGCGACAAAGGCCACGCCTATTGACTGGACAGCACGGTGGTCATATACCAGCCGGATATTAGAAGAGAGATCTCTCTCAAAGACGCTTTCATCAAAGCAAAATGCTCTGCGCACAAAACGGAGCTGCTATCAGTCATGTCAAGACGTTACATCACTGTCCTGACCACAGCCACGTACTCAATCATCCAAAGTAAATAGTAGAGTAAACTAGTAAAAAAATATATTGATTCTGCCAGAAAAACAGCAAAGTCCCTGTAGCTGTCAGACTCGGTGTACAGAACTTCATGGGTTTGGACATGACTTTAGATGTTATATATCTAATGCAAATCATAGCTCAATCCCAGTTCACTCGTCACAGCATGTTGCAGTTATGGTTATGCTAGCATAATGGTTAACCCCAAGAAAAACAAATGGACCATACCACCTGCATAGTAACCAGAGCATTAGGTAGAAAGGCCATGGGGTACCTTGTGAGATTTCTCCAGTATAAACTTGGCAGATTTATATTATTTTTTATATTTTCAAAGACATTGGTCAGATTATTAGACATTCAGCTCCTCAGAGATGTTGAAAGGATTAGCTGGCTCATGTAGGACGTCATATATCAAGGCAGTCTCCTCATACACCCTCATACATCTATAGCCTTGGTAGAGCCACTCATGTCAGACGACTTTTAACCCAACCAACTACAAATAAGATACTGACCACCCCTAACACACCCAGTGGTCTAGTTGGCAACGTTCAGTGGATTCTTGTAAAATATTTGAAAGACGGGGCAGCGATCCGATCGTAACCTTTTTGCCATGTTCTTCAGAACGTATTTCACAACTCCATATGGTGCAATGCGCCTGTAAACATGCTATGTCCTTGGTCCAGTTTAACGGCATTGGTGGATTACATAACAAGCAAACTAAGCTTCTTCGGGAAAGTCAAATACCTATGCCGTGGAATCATCACACATCTGTATTCCAACAAAAAACATCTCACCATCTGTCCACAAACAAGGCCGTCGTTTGACCGTTTACCGGGACACTTTTTCAACACCAGCACAACACACCCATCACAGGAAGGAGACGCACAGCAGATCGCTCATTGTCCTCCTAAAAACTGCCCCACTTACAAGTTCCATGCTGTGTGTTGCCTGTCAGGTAACAAACCACTGGACTATTCAGTGCTTGTAATTTCCAGTCATATAAAACATAATTCTGTTTTGCCTCTTTGGACCAACACACATGACCTAATTGTTGGCCGTCCTGATCTATTTGAAGATCTATGTCGAAACTGAAACATCAGTTCTTTTTTCCCATTCCTCATCCTCAGGTTTTGTAAAGCCCATAAATAGAATCCCATGGCATCTTTGTGTCACGTGATTCTGTAAACCGCCCTAATTGGATGGAGTTTTACACACATTGTCCGTTTATATTTAAAAGGAAATCACCCAACCATTCATGCTTTTGCAGAAATTCAAGTGAGGCACACAGTGCTTTACTGCCACCTCTTTGAGAGTTTGAAAGGCTACTGTCTTCCATTCATTGTTTAATTGAATCAACTGCCTAACCTAACGATTTAATTGTCATTAGTTACATTTTTTTTTTATGTTTTGAAATACATGTGATATTGATTATCAGCTGTTTATCTGCTTAAAATGTGGCAGTTGACAGCCATTCAGAAAGCCTTCAAATTCAGGCCTTCTGGTGGATATGCTTTCAGATACAATATGACCATTTCAAACGGATCTCAAACTTTTCATCCGCTTTCCTTTCTCCCACAACCCATTGTTTCCACCAGAAATTCTCTGGCTATGTTTTGGTCCCCAATTATGCAGATTAACCACAAACTGAACCAAATGGAAGTTTTATTGTTCATGAAAATTCAACTGTTGCTTCATTCCCATAATAATGCTTTTAAGCTTTGAAAACAGTGTTTCTAACACTGTGCCCCAAAAAATATTTGAAATTTAATTTAAGAACTATATATGTGGCAGAGGCACAGGGAGACAGAGGCTGCAAAACCAAATTAATTAGCACAGCCATTAGAGGAGTGTGACGTTTACTTTTATCATATGGGTGACAGGTGCAGCATTTTATACAGACACACTGCATATACAAAAAAATTGCTTTAACAAAAGTGTTTGCAGCACCCTCACCCCGTCGCCATCATTTTGAAATGCCTGTAGGGGTTCTCTATGCACTTAACATAAGCTTTTGTTTGAGACTTTTATCTTCCAGAAGGATATTTGCTCATCCTCTCACATAACCAATGTGGGGGAAGTTACTCACAAAACTAATCCATTACAGATGGAGGTGGAAAGTTCAGGTCCGGAAAGTACAAATCCAGACCTAGGTTTTGTTTCAACCAACCAGTGGAGTACTCTGTGACTGTATACTCAAATGGTTGGTTGAAACAAAAACTTGGTCTGGATTTGTACTTTCCGGACCTGAACTTTCCACCTCCATCTGTAATGGATTAGTTTTGTGAATAACTTCCCCAACACTGCACATAGCATTATGGACAACACAGCTAAACTTAAGTTTGGTTTATATGGGGCATCTCATTCCCGAGTGACTGCTTTCTGGCACCGTCCCCTGTCAATGCACCGTCCCCTGTCAATGCACCGTCCCCTGTCAATGCTTGCCCAGCATTTGAAAACAAATGGGTCATGGGCTTTCACTGAAACACTGAAAAGCACCATAAAGAACTTCCAACCCTCAAACACTTTTCAGTCACTGCTGTCATTGGCAGGACTGTAGAAGGATCATCCCTGAGACACCTATTACCCAGAAAGTCACATCCAAGCCCCTTAGGGCAGTTTCGGTGCCCCTGTTTGTTCATCTAACGCTATGGCTCCACGTCACCTGAAACTGCACTCTCACAAACCAGACATCTTGTTCCTATCCTCACCGCCCCCCTTTCCTCTGTCTGTCCCCCACTCTTCTCAAACCAGTGACACGGATTCCACGTCCCTTCCCCTGCTGCCATTGCCCCCCACCCCTAATCATTCTCACAGCACATCACATCTCTAGCATTTCTACCTTCACAATAGCAGGTCAGTTTCGGCCCTGTTTAGCCACTACCCTGGGTAATGTCCAGCTGTTAGCCTCAGTGCTAAATCCGCCCAGGCTTTCCTGATATAACACTTTGCTTGGCCACCTTCCAATATCAACCCTACATTCAGGTCAGCAGATACAGGACCCTGCCAATGTCAGTTCCCTCCTTTTCTAATCAGCTTATGTGGACATGTATAATATTTGAAAATCCCATTACAGCCGTGCTTTCTGTGAAGCCTGGGACCAAACACACATCATACTCTCACTCATATTCTAAAGCGAAATCTCTAACTAGCAGCACACCACCAAGAACCACACTCACATCATCCCTTTACTGGGAGTTACAGCTGTATTTAATGACAAACCTGCTCAGAAACAGGTGTGGACACTGCTAACCTAATCAAGGAATTATCTGATCTGATGTAATTGATAGGCATGCAATGGTATTGGATAAGTCTAATCAGATAAAAAACACCAATCCAATCAAACAATTGATAGCTTATTAATTAAACTTATTTGCAGTAAAATTAGGAAAGTGGTTTTCCACAGCTGGAACTTTCATTCATATCCATCTTAATTTCATATGACTATTTAGTCATTAAAATCCCTTTAGATACAGTACCAATCAAAACTTGGACACACCTACCCATAGAGAGGGTTACTTGAACTATTCTCTACAAGTTACAATAATTCTAAATACATTAAGTCTATAAAATAATATGTATGGAAACACACACTGACCAAAAAAGTATTTGTAAAGATTTGGCAGCCTTATGGATTGGAACACAGAAGGTCACATGTTCAAATATCGTGGTCAGCAGAGTGGTGCCACCACTCGGACCATCAGCAAGGTCCTTAGCCCCAATTTCTCCAGGGACTAGCTAGCGACTAGTACTTTCTCCTCTATGCCAGTTTCATGAGGTGGATCCTTTTCCAGCTGTCCTGAAGGAGGTCCCACATACAGCTCTGGAAAAAATTAAGGGACCACTCTATGTTATAAAAAAATGCATTTTAAATCCTGGTTTAACCCTGGTCCTGCTGGCAGAAGGCTACACTGAGCAGCAGGTTGCTTCCAGGCTCAAAGTTTCTAAGACAACAGTAAGAAGAATAAGGTGAAGCAGGAGACACTGGGAATGACCAAAAACCAGCCAGGTAATGGGCGGAAGTGACTTTCTAATGCCAGAGATGACTGATTAACTTATCTGACAGTTTCTCATGAATCGCAGGATACAATGGAGTGACCTTCAAAAACATTGGGAAGCATTAAGTGCAGGTGTGAAGTGCACTGCTAGGACAGTTTGTATCAGGCTCCTAGAAGCAGGACTGAAGTCCCATAAAGCAAGGAAGAAGCCCTTCATTAATGAGAAGCAGGGAAAAGCCAGGCTGGGGTTTACAAAAAAT